ATGGGGTTAAGTCCGAGTGGGGATCTGTAACAAGTGGCGTTCCACAGGGATCAGTCTTGGGCCCGTTGTTGTTTATAATATATATCAATGATCTTGATGAGGGAATTACTAGTGATATGAGCAAATTCGCCGATGACACAAAGATAGGTAGGAAAATTTGATTCAAACGTAGATGTTATGGAACTTCAGGAGGATTTAAACAAACTTATTCTTGGTCAGAAAAGTGGCAGATGCAGTTCAATGTAGATAAATGCAAGGTTCTGAAGCTTGGGAGTGCCCATAACCCTAGTACGTACTTATAAGTTAAATGATGTAGAACTTAGCCATACAGATTGCGAAAAGGACTTGGGGGTTATGGTGAGCAGCAACCTTAAACCAAGACAGCAATGCCTAAGCGTACGTAATAAGGCAAATAGATTACTGGGATTTATATCAAGAAGTGTATGCAACAGAAGTCCAGAGGTCATACTGCAGCTTTATACATCATTAGTAAGGCCTCACCTAGATATTGCAGCTCAGTTCTGGTCTCCATATTACAGAATGGACATAAATTCGTTAGAAAACATTCAGCGTAGGATGACTAAATTAATACATAGCATTAGAAATCTTCCTTATGAAGAAAGATTGAAGACTCTTAAGTTACATTCACTTGTTAGACGAAGAATGAGGGGAAAACCCGAATCGAAGTGTATAAGTGGAAGATAGGTATTAATAAAGGGGATATTAATAAGGTCTTGAGGATGTCTCTCCAAGAGAGAACCCGCAGTAATGGATTTAAATTAGATAAGTTTAGATTTAGAAAGGACATAGGAAAGTATTGGTTTGGAAATAGGGTAGTTGATGAGTGGAACAGTCTACCTAGTTGGGTTATTGAGGCTGGGACTTTGGGTAGTTTCAAATCTAGGTTGGATAAGTACATGAGTGGGAGGGGTTGGATTTGAGTGGGACTTTCACATCAGAGCTTATTTCTTGGGTGGCATTGAAAATTGGGTTGGGAAAATGTTTTGTTAGTGGGATGAATTGTAAAGGACCTGCCTAGTATGGGCCAGCAGGCCTCCTGCAGCGTTCCTCCTTTCTTATGTTCTTATGAGACAGAAACGAGACACTGAACTATAAACCAGTGTCACTGACGAGAGGAGGAGGAGTGGTAGAGCACCTGGAACAGAACAAGATTATGAACGACAACCAGCACGGATTCATGGAAGGCAAATGATGGGTCACAAACCTTCTCGAGTTTTATGACAAAATAACTGAAGTAATAGACGAGAGAGAGGGGTGGACTGATTGCATTTTCTTGGACTGCAAGAAGGGCTTCAACACAGTTCCCCACAGGAGATTAGTGCAGAAGCTAGAGAATCAGGCATATATAACAGGAAGGGCACTGCAATGGATCAGAGAATACGTGACACGGAGGCAATAACGAGTCAAGGTACGAGATGAGGTATCACAATGGGTGCCTGTGACGAGCGGGGTTCCACAGGAGTCAGTCCTAGGACCAGTGCTGTTCTTGGTATATGTGAATGACATGACGGAAGGGATAGATTCAGAAGTGTCCCTGTTTGCAGACAATGCGAAGTTAATGAGAAGAATCAAATCAAATCAAATAGGGATCAGGCATGACTACAAAGTTACCTGGACAGGCTGGATACGTGGTCTAGGAACTGGCTACTAGAATTTAACCCTGCCAAATGCAAAGTCATGAAGATCGGGGAAGGGCAAAGAAGACTGCAGACTGAGTATAGGCTAGGTGGCCAAAGACTGCAAACCTCGCTCAAGGAGAAAGATCTTGGGGTGAGTATGACACCGAGCATGTCTGCGGAAGCACACATCAACCAGATAACTGCTGCAGCATATGGGCGCTTGGCAAACCTGAGAATAGCGTTCCGATACCTCAGTAAGGAATAGTTCAAAACTCTGTGTACGTCAGGCCCATACTGGAATATGCAGCACCAGTTTGAAACCCCCACCTGGTCAGGCACGTTGAGAAATTAGAGAAAGTGCAAAGGTTTGCAACAAGGCTAGTTCCAGAGCTAAGGAGAATGTCCTACGAAGGAAGGTTAAGGGAAATTGGTCTGACGACACTGGAGAACAGGGGGTTAGGGGAGACATGACAACGGCATACAAAATACTGCGAAGAATAGATAAGGTGGACAGAGACAGGATGTTTCAGAGATGGGACACTGACACAAGGGGTCACACTTGGAAGTTGAAGACTCAGATGAGTTAGAGATGTTAGGAAGTATTTCCTTAGTCATAGAGTTGTCAGGAAGTGGAATAGTCTGGCAAGTGATGTAGTGGAGGCAGGAACCATACATAGTTTTAAGACGAGGTATGATAAAGCTCATATAGTAGGGAGAGAGAGAGACCCTAGTAGCGATCAGTGAAGAGGTGAGGCCAGGAGCTTAGGCTAGACCCTTGCAACCGCAATTAGGCGAGTACCATTAGGCGCGCACGAGCGCACACACACACACACACACACACACACACACACACACACACACACACACACACACACACACACACACACACACACACACACACACACACACACACACACATTCACATTCACATTCACGCATTCACATACACGCACGCATATACAACAGGCCTAGTGTCTAATCGACATTTGCCTAGGACAAACTGGTAACTAAAGGAGCCACTAGGCAGCACAACTGAGCAAACCAACTCAAGATGAAGGCCCATTGTGATCAAACTTCCGGCAGGAATGATGAAATGTAAAAAATTTTACTTAAAAAAATTTAAGTGACAGCGTCTCCTGGTACAGAAGTCCCATTCATTTTTACGCTATTAAGATTCCATTCACCAAGTTATTGACCAAATAACTCTCCAGGATAAATAATCCTGTGCAAAAATTTCCAGGATGTTAGGTACATTGGCCGATAAGAAAGAATTCAAGTATAGTACCGTCTTCATGCGAATGACAAGGAATTAGTGATTTCACAGTTAACTTCATGACCAGTGTTCCTCATGTGCAAAATCGAAATATTAAATTCCCATCTGGATCTGACAAAACACTCGTGATGTTTTAGTAATGTTTATACTTTAAATCATAGGATTCAGAGATCCTTCACGTTTAACATACATAGAAAGTTCACAGTGTTGCTTATATCGTGTCCATTTTCACTCTGATCATTATTACCTGGAGTTTACCTGGAGAGAGTTCCGGGGGTCAACGCCCCCGCGGCCCGGTCTGTGACCAGGCCTCCTGGTGGATCAGAGCCTGATCAACCAGGCTGTTGCTGCTGGCTGCACGCAAACCAACGTACGAGCCACAGCCCGGCTGGTCAGCAGCTCCGAATATCGTGATGAAACGAGAAAGATGCATAAATGCTACTGGACAACAGTACCCGAAATTGCTTATTGAAATAAATGAAGTGTACTAAAAAAAAAAAAACTCTATAGTATAAAATCTCATAAATATCTCCAAAACTACTAAGATACTGAAAGTAAATTTACCCTTAAGATTTGTGGCATTAAAAGCCTGCTAATTAAAAATTTAGCTAGCTCTTGGAGCCTCTCCATGTTGGGAACCTGGAAGGAACTGTCCTGTAGGATTAAGAGCCACAGTCAGTTAAACCTGTTAGAATCTCAACTGTAACATTTTATGATTATATTATCATTAGTAGTAGTAGTAGTATCATCAGTTTTATCACTAAACCCGTAAAGGTGACACACCGCTGCAGAAAAGGATGTGCGAAAGTAGGACTTGTAGATGAATGGTTCAGAGAACCGACATGTTGATAAATTAGACACATGTGCAACTCTTGGGTATCTTTATTGAGGAAACGTTTCGCCACACAGTGGCTTCATCAGTCCATACAAAGGAGAATTTTGAAGAACAGGAGGAGAATGAGGTAATCAGTCCCTCAACCTTGAGTCGATGTGGTCAGTCCATCAATCTTGAATAGAATACGGCATACGTGCTGAGAAGGAGCTTATAAACCGTTGGTAGGAGAGGTGCAGCAGTCATAGGTCGTGTAACATTTGTTCAATGTTGAAGTAGGTCGTGCCCAAGATTTAGGCAAGCGAAGAATTCCCAAGTATTAAGATCTTAATACTTGGGAATTCTTCGCTTGCCTAATTCTTGGGCACGACCTACTTCAACATTGAACAAATGTGACACTACCTATAACTGCTGCACCTCTCCTGCCATACGGTTTATAAGCTGCTTCTCCGCTCATCTGCCGTATTCTATTCAAGATTGATGGACTGACCACATCGACTCAAGGTTGAGGGACTGATTACCTCATTCTCCTCCTGTTCTTCAAGTTTCTCCTATGTATGGACTGATGAAGCCACTGTGTGGCGAAACGTTTCCTCAATAAAGATACCCAAGAGTTGCACATGTGTCTAATTTATCGAAAGTAGGACTGTGCGAAAAGTAGAAGAATAACAAAAGGCCAAGTCACTAATACATTGATGGAATTTTCATTAAGATTATCACATCGATTATTATTAAATATTATTGGGATAAACAACTGTTTAAGGACTGCTTAAATTAAACCAATACATTATCGGAAAAATAAAAAATTATTTTTAATATTACCGTTTAAAACTCTGTTGTGTGTAAATGTCATTTGGAAGTTTAATGGATGTATTAACTTAAAAATTGTCTGATTTCATTATAAATGAAAAAAAATAAATTACGTTGCGTAAAATCGTCAAAGATTTTCCTCTAATCCAGATATGTTGACTTTCTAAGTGGCAGGGAAAAGGGAGTCGTGTAATAATATATACTTTGTGTAATGTATTGCTTTCTGAAGATTTTTCCTGAAAACGGTAATGATGCTATTATACTCTGATAGTTTTTCTTCGGTAACTAACATGAAATAGATGTTGACAGGAGTAATTATCAAGTGCATAGCCTAATCAAATGTAGATAATTTAAATGTTAATACAAGTACTCACTGTTGGAAAAATGAACCCATGAGTACATGTACTAGGTAATCTAACATCTCATAAGATATTGTTGGTAACAGTACACTGACTACTGCCTAGATGTACTCACTGGCTGTATACTGTACGGTGGCGTTGGCTAAGTGTCCACGGGATAGAACGCAGGGAGGCAGCTCACAATCTTCAATATCTACCGTCACTGGCGACCCCACCGAGCCTGCCGAGAGAGAGACATTCCTGCTGTAAGCAATGGTAAAATTAGATAATAAGAATCCTGTTGTACAGACACAGCTTACAGACAGACCTCCGGGGAAACATGGTAGGCATGCAGAATACTCGGGTTTTCATATGTAACTGGAATTTATATGGGTATGGTCCACACCCAGCTGCAACTCTCAAGATGCACTCTGCCTGACTAGTATTACGTTTGTGAGGATTCCTTGTGAAGAATCGAAGATTCCATGTGAGGAATAGAGGATTCCATGTGAGATGTGGAATAAAATTACCTGGATGAACCTCATAAGATACGTACCAGTAATTTGTAACAAAGATAATTATTCCTTATCAAGTGTTATAGAGACATGTAGGAATTTTGAGACATCCTAGGTCGCCAGAAAATGTCACCCTTCGAATACCTATTACTCTCATACTTCCACAAGTCTCTCTGGACTTTTATTAACTTCAAATGAAATAAACATCACCAGTAATTATGGTAAAACTATTAATATAAATTATATGGACTGTATGTTGAATTAATTTAATTAATATGTGGAAAATTACATTTAACTGAATGTATCATTATGTACATAACAGTAAATGAACAAAGATAATTATTATTTATCAGTTAGACAAGTAGGAATTTGGGACACCTAGGTCGCAAAAAATGTCCCTCTTCGATACCTACCTTGTCATATCCACAAGTTGCTCTGGGCCCATTAATTACAAATAAAATATATATCACCAGGAATGCTGGTAAATATATAAATTTGTGAACTGAATTAAAATAATAAATTATATATATACAATTTCATAACAAAAGGAGAATATCTAAATCACTCACCAATTTGACTGGGATCAAGTGTACATACTCAAAAAACCTTCTAACAAATTTTTGAAAATACTGGCCAGAATTATAACACGAATCAGTACTATCTAGGTTCCCGGAGTGTCCTTGTCCCTACTGATATCTCAATTATGCAGTAATGCATACCCAAAAATTTCGCTCCCATTTGAGAGGGTCACCCAATTTTTCCCCGACACGAAAAAATTTTTTCCCCCTTTTTAACTAAAAGTCTGTTACTCAATTCAAAAAAACAATGGCGAGATCTTCTGCGAGGCACAGGCTTCTTCCCATTTTTTATTACATAATTTTTTTTTAAAAACAGATGGCCATCTATTTACATATAACTACTGTAATATTTACATTAAAATATGGAAAATAATACAGTATGTTCCACAAATGAATAAATATATTATTATATATATATATTTTATTATATATAATATAAAATTTTATATATATAATATATATATATATATATTTTATATCAGAAGGGGAATTTTATATTACTAGCACTCACAATTTTGTCTGGAGTTACTTGGTCTGCTCCACAACCTCCCGCCCGATTGAGAAACTATTGTCAGAATTTTTAATAAAAAAAGACATTATTTATCTGGGGATGATGTAATTCTTATCCCTTTTCCCATCTAATTTCAGAGTCCTGCCCAGTCGTTGGTTTCTCACATTCTGTAGGACTGTAACTCCTATAATTTCTGCTCCTATTTGAGAGGTTTCAACCACATCTAACCTGCAGAGCTACAAAATATTCTTCCCATTTCACTAACTCTCGCCTTGCCCAGTTCAAAACATGGCGTCCCTCAACGACGCTAACCCTCTCGCTGGTTCCTTTTTTATTTTCAAATTAATTTTTTACTAACTAAAATGTATTTCACTAATTTACATGCAAAAATACACTGTATTTTGGAAAATATACAGTATTTTCCACATGAATCAAGGATTCCATGTGAGAAATCGAGGATTCCATGTGAAGAATCAAGGATCCCATGTGAGGAATCGAGGATTCTGTGTGAGGAACAGAGAATTCCATGTGAGGAATCGAGGATTCTATGTGAGGAACAGAGAATTCCATGTGAGGAATCGAGGATTCTATGTGAGGAACAGAGAATTCCATGTGAGGAATCAAGCATTCCTCACAAAGAAAATTCCATAACATCAACCAGAGTGAGAGCGCAAATAGAACTGAAGAATCATATAAAATGCTTCACTGGAATTTGATTCACTTTCAGTAACATAAGTCATGAAATTCCTATAATAAACATACTCAATATGAATAAAATATTTATGGAATAAACAGATATTATTTAGATTTACTTCTAGGACTGCACATTAAAGTTATAATTAGGTTTACCTCTGGTATGATAATGTTTTACCTAATTTCCTTTAATACCCTCATTCAACCAAAATCCCTACCCGAGCGTCAAACACAAGTTAAAGGGTAAAATAATAATGATTGGTAGTTCCAGGGTGTCCAATGTTCTAGCCTAATGTAATCCGTCATGGATGTGTGAAAAGATAGAGCGTCCAGAGGTCCACCTCAGCGGCTAGTTTATTGTGCACCCCCTACGCCCATCCTGTGAGGAGCTAGTTTATTGTGCATCCCATGCTCATTCCTCGAGTGGTAACGAAAAAAAAAACAGGATTACAGAAGTCACAATGGGTCTTTGTCAGACTCTCACTGAGCTTTGTTCCATCGCTAGAAAGAGGTACAGTATTAATCATTTCATATTTCATAATAACTTTTTATAATTAATGGACACAATACAGTATAGAATGCAATCTCAAAAAAATATATCATATTACCACTAAAAACATTGGTCGTAATTGGGTTGTAATCTCCTATATAAAAACTTCCTTCATCTAGTGATTCTAGTCGATGCAAAATGTAGATACAATCACAATATTTCAGATATCGTATATTTTTTTTTTATATCCTGTAAGGCGTGCACGGAGGTGTCACTGAAAGGTTGGACATTCACACACCTTGCATTTTATATCACTGACAACTCCATATAGACCGTACTGCCAGAAATACTTATAGCTTAGTCTAGCAGAAACTACAACACTGCAGGAGAAACTTGTAGTCTAGCCTCAATCTTGCAGAAACAACAGTACTGCTAGGATCCCTATAACCCTACCCTTTAGTCTAGCGTACTATTGTTATGCTAAGTGAGGCTAGGTTTTTATTCCTTCACTTCCGGGGTCGATCATTTTTGATGAGAAATCTAGAAAACCCCGGGGTCATCTTTGCCGTGGCAAGTTTTTTTCGGCATCCTGAAGGAATTTACAAAGGTTTGTGGATGTTTGGAGATTTTTGTAAAAGTGGAAAAATTAAAGGCAAATACGGAAGTACAAGGTGATTAAAAAAAAGCAAGAAAAAGATTGAATATCACACGGGAGGGGTAGGGAAAAAAAGTGAATATTTCATTATTTGGGAGGTGGTTATGTCAGAAGATCGTTCAATAAAAGGGGGAGAGGTAAACTATAAAATGGTGGGGGGGGAGGAAAAGGTGGACGTTTTTGTGATGAAAAAAGGGGAGAAAAGAAGTTAATCTATGGGGAAAAAAAGGCGAATTACTAGGTATATTGGCCCAAACACTGAGAGAAAGAAGACATTAAAATTTTTAAACGTAGAGGGGTTGGAGGTGGCAGATGTCATAGTTGACAATGTGTGGTGGAATATTATGCAGAGAATTCCCTGCGTAAAAGAAATAATGTGGACCAAAGGGCCCTACTATCTTCAAAGGGCGAAAGAAGTTTTAGGAGTTTGGGCATTTGAGAGTTTGGTCAAAATAGGTTAGGGGCAAAACAGTATCCCCATTTACAATTTACTGTCTTAGCTACAAAATTATTATCCAGTAAAAACGAAATTTGTTTTCCCCCTTTAACTTTAAGAGCTTTACATTATATTCCACTTTTTTTATCTTCTTTTCCGGAATATGACAGCATAGGGTCATATCTGGGCCTTATAATTTCTGTTGTAAATATTTTTACTTTTCCTTAAAAAATGTAAGAAATCACGAAAGGCTTGGAAATTTTCACTATTTTTTCACTGTGGTGAAAAAATTGTAACAAATTTTCCATAAAAAAAAGTAATGAAAAAAAAAACTGGAGTTCCTCAAAGGTGTTGCCACGGGCCCCTGGTTCTACCACACAACACACACACACACACACACACGTGAAACACGTAAGGGCACTACAAGGAGAGAGGAGGGGATGAACAGCAAGGCTGCACTTAGTATTCCCCTTTGAGTATGCGATATCGAGGACCCCAATATGAAAGCCCCCTTGGGGCCATGACCATGGGGTTTTTTAAGCTTCGAATACACAGTAGAGCAAAGGGGGGGAGAAGCGGGAAAGGGCCGGCGAATGAACCCAAACACAAGAAAGGGGATACAAGGAATGGGGAAATACCTGAAGGGGGTTCAGTGGGACAGAAAAACTGGCGGGGAACCCAGTTAATGAAAAGATGGAAAATTTCAAAAAAATGCAAGGAGGTGAGGAAGGCTTTTACCCAAGGGTAACAGGATTAATGAAAAAACCCGGGGCCCTGGTTTACCCAAAGGGCAGGGAGGCAAAAAAACCAAGTGTGCTAGGGAATGGAAAAAATATAGAAGGCAAAGGGCCCAGGGGAATAAGGAAAAAGTCGTAGGCCCGAAAAGAATATGCACAGATAAGAAGGGAGGCCAAAGACAAAAATAAAAAGACATAGCGCGAAAGCCCAAAACGACCCGAAAAAGTTATACAGCCACATCGGAGGAAAACAAAAGTCAAGGCCAGGTAATCAGGCTAAGGAAGGAAGGGGGAGAGACAACAAGAAATGACCCTGAATATGTGAAGAACTAAAAGGTTCAAAGAAGTGTTCACAGAGGAGACAGAAGGGACTCCAGAAAGACGGAAGGTGGGGCACCCACCAAATGCTGGACACAGTGCCCCACACCGAGAAAAAGTGAAGAGGCTTCTGGGGCTAGATACCTCAAAGGGAAAGGGGCCCCGTAACATTCCCCCTGGGTTTTGGGGAGCAGAGGGGCAGTGCCCCTAACAACATATTCAATCGTCTATCGGGAAAAAGGGAGATTCCTGAGGGATGGAAGACACAAATGTTGTCCCAAACTTAAAAAGGGGACAGCATGAAGATTAAACACAGACCCCGTGTCCCGACATGTATAGTATGCAAAATCAGGAGAAAAAATTTTTAAAGGGAAGAGTGGTGGAACACTAGAAAGGAAGATCTCATCAACAGCACCAACATGGTTTCAGGGGGCGGGAAATCCGTGTCACAAACCTAGGAGTTCTTGAATGGTGACAAAAAGTAAGACAAGAGGAGAGGGGTGGGGGGATTGCATTTTTTTGGGCTGAAGAAGGGGTTTGGACAAGTTCCACACAAGAGGGGTTGGGCAAAAAATGGGGGACCAAAGCAGGGATAACAGGGAAGGCCTACAATGGATCAGGGAATACTTGTCGGAAGACGCAGCGAGCATGGTAGGGGCGAGGTGTCAGAGTGGGCACCGTGACCCGGGGGTCCCCCCGGGTCAGTCCTAGGACCAGGCTGTTTTGGTATTTGGAACGCATACGGGAAGGGAAAGACTCTGGGTGTCCCGTTTGCAGAGCGTGAAGTTGAGAGAAGAATTCATGTCGAAGACCAGCAGAAACAAAGGGGTTGGACAGGCGCAGACCTGGTCCAGCAATTGGCTCTGGGGTTTAAACCCCCCAAGTGCAAAAGTCATGAAAATTGGGGAAGGGCAAAAAGGGGCCCCAGAGGAGTACAGTCTAGGGGTCAAATACAAACCCACTCAAGGAAAAAGATCTTTGGGGGGAGTATAACACCCGGCACATTCTGGCGCAATCAAACCCAAAAAACTGCGCAGATATGGGCGCCTAGCAAACCTCAGAACAGCATTCCGACATCTTAATAAGGAATCATTCAGGACCCTGTACACCGTGTACGTTAGGCCCATATTGGAGTATGCGGCACCAGTTTGGAACCCACACCTAGCCAAGCACGTGAAGAAACTAGAGAAAGTGCAAAGGTTTGCAACAAGACTAGTCCCAGAGCTAAGAGGTATGTCCTACGAGGAGAGGTTAAGGGAAATCAACCTGACGACACTGGAGGACAGGAGAGATAGGGGGGACATGATAACGACCTACAAAATACTGAGAGGAATTGACAAGGTGGACAAAGACAGGATGTTCCAGAGATTGGACACAGTAACAAGGGGACACAGTTGGAAGCTGAAGACACAGATGAATCACAGGGATGTTAGGAAGTATTTCTTCAGCCACAGAGTAGTCAGTAAGTGGAATAGTTTGAGAAGCGATGTAGTGGAGGCAGGATCCATACATAGCTTTAAGCAGAGGTATGATAAAGCTCACGGCTCAGGGAGAGTGACCTAGTAGCGATCAGTGAAGAGGCGGGGCCAGGAGCTCGGACTCGACCCCCGCAACCTCAACTAGGTGAGTACATACACAACATACTCACACACATACACATACACACACACACACACACACACACATGTACATATATGTATGTATACACAGTATATGTGGAAGACTCACCACAGTCCTGGAAGACAGTGGCTGATGTGGTGGTGAGCAGCAGAAGAACAGTGAGGATTCTGTACATGTTGGGCGGTAGTGATGTGATGTCTGTCGCTGCGACACAGTGATGCCGTTCCTACAGAAACAGTGATACCGTTGCTTCTGAAACAGTGATACCGTTGCTTCAGAAATAGAATCAGGGACCAAATATGATGAAGAAAAGACAATTTGCCAAAAAAAAAAAATAACAAAAATTAAATTGGAACAAAGCTTGGAAGTGTATACTTGTCAATGGTACAGTTTAATACCACTTTACGCAAAATAAATAAATAACAAAAAGGCACAATACCGTGACTGGAACAATACACATATAGCCCGCACATAAAAGAGAGAAGCTTACGACGACGTTTCGGTCCGACTTGGACCATTTACAAAGTCACACTAACAGAGGTGGAGCAGGACGGCTATATATAGGCAGGAAGAGGTGGTAGTAGTAGTAGTAGTAGTAGTAGTAGTAGTAGTAGTAGTACAAGAATTGTATATAATACCGACAGGATGAAATGACACATGCACAACACCCGGGCATCCCCACCGTAGACGTTTCGCCATCCAGCCAGCCACTGGATGGCGAAACGTCCACAACAAAGACAACCAGACGCCGCACACAGGGCGAAATGCTGTCCCAATTAAAAGACGTTCTGTAGAGTGCATCTCTTCTACACCAGTGTCAGCAAATGTGTTCCAGCTGGTGACGGGCTCTTGATCTAGGGAATTGGATCTGTGCTTCAGTTCCCTGAACTAGGCCTTCTACCCCTCCCCCACAGGCGCTGTATAATCCCTACGGGTTTAGCGTCCCCCCATATAATAATCCAGCTGACAACCGCAGTGGTATCACCTGGCACTCAAGCTTTCACTGGAGTGTCACCTGGCACTCAAGCTTTCACTGGAGTGTCACCTGGCACTCAAGCTTTCACTGGAGTGTCACCTGGCACTCAAGCTTTCACTGGAGTGTCACCTGGCACTCAAGCTTTCACTGGAGTGTCACCTGGCACTCAATCTTTCACTGGAGTGTCACCTGGCACTCAAGCTTTCACTGGAGCGTCACCTGGCACTCAAGCTTTCACTGGAGTGTCACCTGGCACTCAAGCTTTCGGAGCCACATGAGAGTGTCACCTGGCACTCAAGCTTTCACTGGAGTGTCACCTGGAACTCAAGCTTTCACTGGAGTGTCACCTGGCACTCAAGCTTTCACTGGAGTGTCACCTGGCACTCAAGCTTTCACTGGAGTGTCACCTGGCACTCAAGCTTTCACTGGAGTGTCACCTGGCACTCAATCTTTCACTGGAGCGTCACCTGGCACTCAAGCTTTCACTGGAGTGTCACCTGGCACTCAAGCTTCACTGGAGTGTCACCTGGCACTCAAGCTTTCACTGGAGTGTCACCTGGCACTCAAGCTTTCACTGGAGTGTCACCTGGCACTCAAGCTTTCACTGGAGTGTCACCTGGAACTCAAGCTTTCACTGGAGTGTCACCTGGCACTCAAGCTTTCACTGGAGTGTCACCTGGCACTCAAGCTTTCACTGGAGTGTCACCTGGCACTCAAGCTTTCACTGGAGTGTCACCTGGCATCAATCTTTCACTGGAGTGTCACCTGGCACTCAAGCTTTCACTGGAGCGTCACCTGGCACTCAAGCTTTCACTGGAGTGTCACCTGGCACTCAAGCTTTCACTGGAGTGTCACCTGGCACTCAAGCTTTCACTGGAGTGTCACCTGGAACTCAAGCTTTCACTGGAGTGTCACCTGGCACTCAAGCTTTCACTGGAGTGTCACCTGGCACTCAAGCTTTCACTGGAGTGTCACCTGCACTCAAGCTTTCACTGGAGTGTCACCTGGCACTCATCTTTTCACTGGAGTGTCACCTGGCACTCAAGCTTTCACTCTGGAGTGTCACCTGGCACTCAAGCTTTCACTGGAGTGTCACCTGGCACTCAAGCTTTCACTGGAGTGTCACCTGGCACTCAAGCTTTCACTGGAGTGTCACCTGCACTCAAGCATTCATTAACTGTCAATTATAGGAAACAACGAAGACGTAACAGAATAATGAAGAATAATGACACAATAATAAGAGTAATGACAGCAATAACACAGTAATGAGCGCACTGAAACAGTAATGATAGTGTAATGATACAGTACACCTAGAGATACCTGGAGAGAGTTCCGGGGGTCAACGCTCCCGGGGCCCGGTCTGTGACCAGGCCTTATGGTGGATCAGGGCCTTATCAACCAGGCTGTCACTGCTGGCCGCATGTAATCCAACGTACGAACCACAGGCCGGCTGGTCAGGTACTGACTTTAGGTACCTGTCCAATGCCTGCTTGAAGACAGCCAGGGGTCTATTGGTAATCCCCCTTATGTATGCTGGGAGGCAGCTGAACAGTCTCGGCCCCTGACACTTATTATGTTGTCTCTCATCGTGCTAGTGACACCCCTGCTTTTCATTGGGGGGATGTTGCATCGTCTGCCGAGTCTATTGCTTTCATATGGAGTGATTTTCGTGTGCAAGTTCGGTACTAGTTCCTCTTATGATTTTCCATGTGTATATAATCATGTATCTATCCCTCCTGCGTTCCAGGGAGTACAGGTTTAGGAACTTCAAGCGTACCCAGTAATTGAGGTGGTTTATCGCAGTTATGTGTGCTGTGAAGATTTTCTGTACATTTTCTAGGTCAGCAATTTCACCAGCCTTGAAAGGTGCTGTTGGTTTGCAGCAATATTCCAGCCTAGAGAGAACAAGCGACCTGAAGAGTGTCATCATGGGCTTGGCATCCCTGGTTTGGAAGGTTCTCATTATCCATCCTGTCATTTTTCTAGCAGATGCGATTGATACAATGTTATGGTCCTTGAAGGTGAGATCTTCTGACATGATCACTCCCAGGTCTTTGACATTAGTTTTTCGATCTATTGTGTGGTTGGAATTTGTTTTATACTCTGATGAAATTTTAATTTCCTCACGTTTTCCATATCGGAGTAATTGAAATTTCTCATCATTGAACTTCATATAGTTTTCTGCAACCCATTTAAAGATTTGGTTGATGTCCACCTGGAGTCTTGCAGTGTCTTCAATGGAGGACACTGTCTTACAAATTCGGGTGTCATCTGCAAAGGATGACCCCTGTCTATGTCCGATATGAGGATGAGGAACAAGATGGGAGCGAGTACTGTGCCTTATGGAACAAAGTTTTTCACCGTAACCGCCTCAGACTTTACTCTGTTGACTGTTACTCTTTGTGTTCTATTTGTTAGGAAATTATAGACCCATCTACCAACTTTTCCTGTTATTCCTTTATCACGCATTTTGTGCGCTATTACACCATGGTCACACTTGTCAAAGGCTTTTGCAAAGTTTGTGTATATTACATCTGCATTCTGTTTGTCTTCTAGAGCATCCAGGACCTTGTCATAGTGGTCCAGTAGTTGGGACAGACAGGAGCGACCTGCTCCAAACCCATGCTGCCCTGGGTTGTGTAACTGATGGGTATCTAGATGTGTGGTGATCTTGCTTCTTAAAACCCTTTCAAAGATTTTTATGATATGGGACGTTAGCGCTAACGGTCTGTAGTTCTTTGCTATTGCTTTACTGCCCCCTTTGTGGAGTGGGGCTATATCTGTTGTTTTTAGTAACTGTGGGACGACCCCAGTGTCCATGCTCCCTCTCCACAGGATATTAAAGCACGTGATAGGGGCTTCTTGCAGTTCTTGATGAACACGGAGTTCCATGAGTCTGAGCCTGAAGCAGAGTGCATGGGCATGTCATTTATCGCCTTTTCAAAGTCATTTGGCGTCAGGATAATATTAGATAGGTGTGTGTGCACCAAATTCCGTCTCTCATAAAGAAATTATTTAGGTCTTCGACTCTGGTTAGTGGCTCGCTAAAAACCGAGTCATATTGGGACTTGAGTAGCTCACTCATTTCCTTGCTGTCATCTGTGTAGGACCCATCCCGTTTAAGTAAGGGCCCAATACTGGATGTTGTTCTAGACTTTGATTTGACCTAAGAAAAGAAATACTTTGGGTTTCTTTCAATTTCATATATGGCTTTTAGTTCTTCTCGCGTTTCTTGACTCCTGTAAGATTCCTTTAGCTTTAGTTCGATGTTTGCTATTTCTCTGGCCAGTGTCTCCCTACGTATTGCAGATATATTGGCCTCTTGTAGCCGCTCTGTTATTCTTTGCCTTCGCTTGTATAGGGAGCGCCTCTCTCTTTCTAGTTTTCTTCTCCTTTTTCCTTATGGGAATATGCCCTAAGCATACCTCAAGTGCCGCAGAGTTAATTTTTTCTAGACATAAGGTAGGATCCGTGTTGCTTAGTCTCTTTACCCTGTAATGAGAGTAATGACAGCAATGACACAATAATGAGAGTAATTACACTGTAATTACAGTAATGAGAGTAATGACACAGTAATGACAGCACTGACACAGTAATGAGAGTAATAACAGAGTAATGACAAAGCTCCTGGAGAGGGAAACGTTGCTACAATAAAATGCCTCATTAGTTGCACTAATGTCTTTTTACCAAACATATTGTTAGTAATTCTACCAACATTATTACAACACTGACTCAGCACTAGACCACTGTGACTCAGCACTGTAGATCACTGTGACTCAGCACTGTAGACCACTGTGGCTCAGCACTAGATCACTGTGACTCAGCACTGTAGACTACTGTGACTCAGCACTAGATCACTGTGACTCAGCACTAGACCACTGTGACTCAACACTAGACCACTGTGACTCAACACTGTGTAGACCACTGTAACTAATAGGCTTTACTAAACTCATAACAAAGAGAGGTTGGCTTACCTTTATAAATGAAGAATGAAAGTGGTGTATGAGACTAGTGATGGCCAGAAGTATATATACCCAGTCATCACACTCACCCAGGGAAGTGTCATGGGAACCGGCAGGTGTGATCAGGACGTCAGTACACTTGCACTCTTCACTTCCACGCTGCTGTTGTTGCGATAGCTTCCTGACATTTCCGTCAGCGCTGAAAGTGTGGAGAACCCGGGTATGAAATGTGTGAATGGTAATTTTTATCATGAGCAAGACACATGTTCAACACCTAGGTACTTACGCTGTCTGCCTGACAGATTTTTCAAGTCGTATACAGGCAATTGAAACATTGCAAACAGTAGGAGAAGTTAAGAGGTAATTTTTGAGGTCAGATGCTCAACTTTGTTAGGTGGTTAATTCCTTAGCCTGAAACAAAGGCATGAGGTCAGAAACTTGTATACCGGAGAAAGAAGTGAAAGGTAGCAGCTGAAGATGTAACAGGTGAGCGGGGAGCACTAGTGGAAGTAAGTCATGCTTAACAGTTGTTAGCAGCAGAGTTGTAGGATTTGGAAGAGTGCAAATTAAACTCAGTCACTTGTGGAAAATATCGTTTGAATTTTCCAGGCGTTTAAACATCCCCCAGGTGGGGTGACACAATTCTATACATATACTTAATCTCTAAGACTTAGTCTAGTAACTCCCTAGGTTACTTTATACACTATCCTTACCGTTTATACTTATTTTAGAGCTATGTTAGAATTTAGCTTAGTATATAATGTGTCCTACACATTATATACCCTGGGCACCACCTTGCCCCCCCCCCTGACCTATAGGCCAAGGAGCCGGCATCTACGGGCAAGTGGACTCAGTCACACCTTCTCCAGTGAAAAAATGAGGAGACTTCCTTCGTGACATCCATTGCATTGAAATATTTGTTACCGCGCGCGACCCGATAGTTAATTCACCGCAATCGGACTCTGGTTACTGGAACAGACAGCACACAACAACAGATCTCCTTCCACGTAAGTACTCGAGTCTTTGAATGCATTCATGTACTTTACCACATGCAAGGGATAAGATAAGATAGGATATAAGATTTCGTTCGGATTTTTAACCCCGGAGGGTTAGCCACCCAGGATAACCCAAGAAAGTCAGTGCGTCATCGAGGACTGTCTTAACTTATTTCCATTGGGGTCCTTAATCTTGTCCCCCAGGATGCGACCCACACCAGTCGACTAACACCCAGGTACCTATTTGCTGGTAGGTGAACAGGACAGCAGGTGTAAGGAAACGTGTCGAAATGTTTCCACCCGCCGGGAATCGAACCCGGGCCCTCCGTGTGTGAAGCGGGAGCTTTAGCCACCAGGCCACCGGGCTATTTCCCTTTTAACAGAGACCTGCAATTGCCTCTCTACCAACACCACACCGCCTATGTAGCGTAAAGGTATAAAACCATTATTTTCAGTTAATCTCTGGTGAGGCTGCAGGCCCTAGGGCAGTGGTTCCCAAACTGGGGGTAAATTACCCCCTGGGGGTAATTTAACCATTTTTGGGGGGTAATGGAGGGGTGACAGAAAAAAAGTTATGAATTCTGAAAATCAAGAAAACAATGCGGTACCCGGTATGAGGATTATTGTTAACTTTGTCTTAGTATATAAAGTTGTAAAGTAAACCTATTATAAGTAAGTAATAAAGTTAAACCAAATAACAATAAACATCAAAAACTAATATACAGTATTAGAAAAGAAGAAATATATAGCTAAGTGTGTGGAAACCCAAAAGTATTTTGACAAGTATGCTTCAGGACAAAAGTCACTCAGTAGCCCAGATCGACCTGTCCAGTACACGTCACTCACTTCCTGAGGCTGTCTCTATTTCACACTGTCAGTTTATCTGTGAGCATCAGCCGAGGTAGACATAAGCTGGTATGTATGTGTACTGCCCTGTGCAGTATATAGTTAGTATTTACCCACTGTTACTGTGAATTTGTAGCTATTATTAATTTTATATATAATGTATGTGTGGTTCTTACGTTTTCAATGGTTTTGCTAGGATTAGCAGAGTATGCGAGGCTGTATACGTTCACGTTTAGCCATATATATCAATAATAACAACATTTTGTGAAAGGGGTAACATGCTTTATTTGGCATGTTAAATTGGGTAACAAGCTGAAAAAGTTTGGGAACCACTGCCCTAGGGGATTCATGACTGAACAGAGGACCACTAACCTATCCAGTCGTGAACCCACATACACGCCCTCCCCTCTAGTCTGCACATCACTCAGTAGAATGGAAGTTTGTATGTGAGTCTTTGGAGTGATAATATTGACCTCACAGTCAAAGAGCAAAACAACGTTGTTATGACAGCTGCAAGGAAAATGATAAGTTGAATAACTAAAACTTTCAAAATAAGAGATGCCAAGCCAATGATACTCTTCACTCATTCTCTTTTGGCTGGAACAATGGTGAGTACTAACAGCCCTCTTCAAGGCAGCCGAAATTCCAGAACCGGAGACCGAACAGAAATCCTTCACAACTCTTATAACATTACTCAAGCACCTAAATTTTTGGAACCCTTTAAATCTTTCTTACTGTAACCCTTAGAATACAGGGAAGACTACATCATAATCTTCGCCTGGAAGATTTTGGAGGGATTGGTCCCAAACCTGTACGCCAAAAGCACGCGTTATAAAAGCAAGAAAATTGTCAAATGGTACAAAATACCTCCATAAAAAACACGGGCGCGATAAGTACCTCAAGAGATAATTCAATGAGTGTAAAGGGACCAAGATTCTTCAGTGCCTTCTCTTCATACATCAGTGAGATTACCAACAAACCCTTGGCTGTCCTCGAGTCCATACTTAATCAGCTGGTCTGTGGTGCATACGCCTGACTGCGGGCGGCAGCCACCAAAAGCTTGGTTAATCAGACCAGCAACCAGGAAACTTTGTCTGAGACCTGGCAAAGGGGGCTGTGACCCCCGTAGTGACTAAAAGTAACCTTAAGTTTTGCCTTAAACTTTCCCACTGGTTCTTAATCCCAATTTCTTTTTAAAATTTAGGGTTTATCTCAAGCCCGTTCCCCAAGGGAAAACAAAAAAAAAATTTGAAAGGGGGGTTTTTTTCTTTAAAAACATTTTTTGGGGAGAACCCATAAATCACGGGCTTGCCCCATTTTCCTCCCAGGGAAACTACCGGGTTTAAATTTTTAAAAAAAATGGAAGAAGGATCCACGCTTTTTTTGGAAAAAAAGCATTTTGGATGAAAATGATTTATGCCCCACCCATTTTATCCACCCCAGGGGTTTTTTAAAGCGGGTTTTTTTCTCCTGAAAATTTGGGGAGTTCCTTTTCCCAAGGGAAAAATCCAAATTTTATTTCCTAAGTTTAAAAGCCCCCAGGGAGGTTTTTCACCCCAAGGGTTTGAGCAAAAAATGGTTGTGCTCCCAGTTTTAAATTAAGGCATGTTTGGGGGTTTCCCCCCCCAATGTTATTTAATAAAGTAATCCAGGAAAATTTTGATCTTCCATTTCCCATTGGTTTTTAACGCCAAAGTTTTTTTTAAAAAAATTTTTATTTTTCCCCGGCAAGCCAAAGGTTCAGGGGAAAAAAGTGTTGAGGGGCTTCACCCCGTTTTGAGTTCATCCCCCAAGGGGTTGTTGCCAGCAGTGTTGATGTTCCCCCGTGTTGATGCTCACCATGTTGAGGGCCATGAATGTTTTTTTGCCCCGAAATGTTGATGCTCACCGGTGTTGATCCCAAATGAAGTGTTTGATGCTAAGCAGTGTTATGCTAAGCAGTTTGATGTTAAACCAGTGTTGATGTTCAGCATGTTGAGTTCCAGCAGTGGGGAGTTCATAAAAGGTTATGTTCAGCAGTTTGATGTTTTCATGCCCAAAGTGTTGATGCTAAATCAGGGGGTTGATGCTAATGAAGTTTAATGTTTCACGCGTTTTTGATGCTCAGAAGTGTTATGTTCGCAATTTGATGTTCAGAAAGGGGTGATGCTCAGGCTTTGTTGTTGCTCAGCATGTTGATTTCAGCAGTTTGATGTTCAGCAGTGTTGATGTTAGCATTTTAAATGCTAAACGCAGGGGTTAATGCTCAGCAGGGGTTAATTTATCAAGTTAAAGCTAAAGAAGTGTTAAATTTCTTGCAGTTTTTAAATGCTCATCAGTGTTGATGCTAAACCATTTTTTTGATGTCAGCATTTTTTTATGCCCCAATGCGGTGTTGATGTTTATGAAGTGTTAAATGCTCACGCAGTGTTGATGTAAGCAGTTTTGTTTTTTTCATGCAGTGTTGATGTTCTGCGGGTGTTATGTCATGCAGTTTTATTTTAAAAATTTGGTTCAGCAGTTTATGCTCAGCAGTGTTGAGGCTCATGCAGTGTTGATGCAAATGAAGTTTTAATTGCTAAACGCAGTGTTGATGCCCAAAGTGTTATCGCTGGAAGTGTTGTGCTCAGCAGGGGTTGATGCTCATGCAGTTTTTAAATGCCCTTCAGTTTTTTGATGCCAGAAATTGTTGATGTTCAGGCAGTGTTTTTTGTTTTTGAATGTTGATGCTCACGCAGGGGTTATGCTCAGCAGTTTTTGATTTTAATGCGTGTTGATGCCCCGAAGTGTTGATGTTCAGCAGTTTTGATGTTCTTGCTTTGGATGCTCACCAGTGTTGAGTCACCCCAGTTTTGATCCCCCAATGCATTTGTTGATGTTTATGAAGGGGTTGATGCCCCAACGCGGGTGTTGATTTCAGGCATGTTGATCTAATGCATGTTGATGAAAAAGCGTGTTGATGCTCATGAAGGGGTTATGTTTAGGGTTGTTTGATGCTCAGGGTGTTGGGGTATGCAGGGGAAGTGGGTTTGATTTAAACCGGTTTTGATGCCACGAAGTTTGATGCCTTTGAATTTTGATGCTCATGAGTGTTGATGCTCAGGAGTGTTATGTTTAAAGGGGTTGAGGGGCTCACCCCAGGGGAAAAATGCTAAGCAGTGTTGATTTTCAATGAAATTTTTAAATGCTCACGCAGTTTTGTTTTTTTCAGCAGTTGTTGTTCAATGCAGTTTTTGTGCTCAGAAGTGTTGATGCTCACCAGTGTTGATGTTCCTGAATTTGATGCTCAAAAGGGGTTGATCTCACGCAGTGTTGGGGCTAAAGCAGTTTTTAACCCTCAGAAGTGTTGATGCTCAGCAGTGTTGATGTTCCAG